CCTCACTCCCAACTGATATCAATTCATGTTTCCCCTATTACTCCCTTTTCTGATATTATTTTGAAGGAAATCCTGGTCGTCACATGATTTCTGCACACATGTCTAAAATATTTGGACTCTTCTCCTTATTTAAAACAAAACTGGGAAGCAATCAAGAAGTCTTTCAGTAAATGAATGGATAAATAACTGTGGTTACATTCAGACAAGGAAATAATTATTCAGCACTAAATGGAAGTGAACTATAAAGCTGTGAAAAAACATTGTGGAAACTATAAACATGGAGTGAAAAAGCCAATCTGAAAAAGCTTTATACTCTATTATTCCAACTATATGACATTCTTTTTTTTTTTTTTGCAATGTTCTCATATTTTATTCAGTGGACTCTATTCTGTCTCCATCCTGACTTTTTGTCTACTGTCAGCTTTTTAAAAAATTTGTTTTAATTAGTAATACATGACAGAAGAATGTACTTTGATATATCATATATAATGGAGTATAATTTCTCATTTTTCTGGTTATACATGATGTAGAATCCCATCAGCCAGAGTTATGTTATACAATTATATACATTATCACTACACACACACACACACACACACACATACACACGGTGATAATGTCTGATTCAATCTACTGTCAAGATCCTTAGGTTAGGTAATTCATTTACTCACTGAAGTTTAAGAACTATAGCTGTAGAAGTTGTCTAACAGGTAGAGACATCCTTGATGATCTGTATGACACCTGCTTGTGGCCATGTTCTAAACCAGCCCACCTCATAGGACTCAGGGCAGATTCCACAATGTATCTCACAGCTATGTTCATTTAGAGTCTGAGGGCATTTCTGCAGCTAGAGTCTGATAATCACAACTCTCCACTCCCTTCCTAGAGCAGGATAATGAACTTAACACACCTAGTTATTGCAGTTGAAATTTCTTTCCTCCAGAGATGAGTTTTTTTTTTCCACACTAACTCTTTCAGAGGTATTCCTTTTACCTTTGAACAGGTTTATTACCATACCCTAGGCAGAGACTGAATGCCCCCTCGCCCACAGAATAAATTAGCAAATGATGTTAAAAGGAAAAAAATGAATTTAATCAC